CTCCGGGGCAGGCGGGGATCGAACTCATGCGGAAGTGGCTTTAGCTTCTCAGTGCTGTGCTTTAACCCGCTGTGCCACCAGGGAGGGCCCAACTTACCTCCATTTTTTAAGGGTGGGAGTTCAACTGTCTTCAGTTCAAAGTCACTATCAGTAGGGCTGCCTTCAAAGTGTTTCTTCAGAACCCAGCTCTTCGCACGAACCATCTTGAAGCTCCTAGAACACAGACAACATGTAGTTGGCTGCCCTTGTGAAAGAATGATTACGGCTCCCTGGCAGAGGCAGTCCACCTGTCATCGTGGTCATTTGCCAGCAATCTCGCTGATTTCATATTTACTGTTTTTGTTGCTGTGCTGTGGCCACCACACACGCATCACCTGATTTTGTCCTCATTAGCTTCCTGATGAGACAGGCACGATTATCATTCTCAACGTACAATATACAGATGAAGAAACTCAGGCTTCCTCAGAAATCTCCAAGGCAGGGAAGCAGGGAAAAAGGCAATCTAACTGTCTGGAGCACAGATTTTCCTTCTCTCGCCTCACGGGAAGTGAATCCCAAGAATGTCGAAGGTGCCGAGCGCAGTCTCAGCCACCAGGTGGCGCTGCTGCTTTTTCCCATTTGCAGGCGCTCGCTTTCTTTGGCACCGAAGGGGAAACGAAGATTTGCTTAGCTTTATATTTGCCTCCATTGCTAACTCGGAGACCATGATTTACACTGCCTCCACTCAGGTCAAGCTCGAGCTCCCCCTATGAGTCGGTTGTCCCGCGGGGAGAGGGGACAGTAGTGGCCTGACGGGGCCGCTTCCGCCTGTGTTCCCAATGGAGCATTTGGGGAATTCCCATCCGCAGCCCGGCTGTTCCTTCTCGTTTCTTTCCCCCCAAAACAAGAATCCTGAACTGGCCACAGATCCAGCAGCCCCTGGCAATGCGTAGCCGCAGAGGACGAGGGCGTGGCGCGGTGCCCTCGGACCCGCGGCTCCCACGGCTCCCACGTCCTCGCCCCATCCACACCTGTGCCCCCTAACCGAATTCCGACCCGCATATTTCTTCTCTTCCTACCCCAGTCTGCAGTCTCGCAAGTTCCAAAAGCCCCGCAGCAGGCGAGTCTAGAAACCCAGCAGGTGGACAAAATAAAATAAAATAAAATGAGGCGTAGGGCGGTCTACTTACCAGAGTCCGCAAGTTGCACTACTTAGGGGTGGCTGGGATTCCGAAGCCGAGCGTCGGGAGACTGATTTTGAATCCCCTGGAAGAGGGTGGGGCTTTACTGGGCGGAGCTGCTTCAGGAAGTGTGCGAGCCCGGGTCTCCACGGGCTTAGGCGGCCCGAGGGCTCGCCGCAGGCTCTGGTCCACCTGGTCCAGTCCGGCTCAACTCAGCGGCGTCCACACTTGTCCCGGGTCCAAGATATCCCACCTCATCACACACAGCCTCATCACACACAGCCTTACAAGGACCCTTGCAGCCCCTGGAGAGCCTTTTCTGGACTCGGGGTTGGCCAGGTGATCTAAGGGAGTGCTCATAGCGAAGACACTTGTTTTTTTGTTTTGTTTTTTTAGATTTATTTATTTATTTATTCATATAGAGCTGGGGTACATACAGGCCAGAGATGCGGAGGGTGAGAGGATTCATCAGAGACAGAGCAGGGAGTAGAACAGGCAGATCGACCGAAGTACACTGCTGAGGGGAGCAGCTGGCGGGTCAGGAGAGGTCTGCCACACCATGTGGATCTCCTCCGGGGCAGGCGGGGATCAAACTCATGAGGAAGAGGCTTAAGCTTCTTAGTGCTGTGCTTTAACCCACTGCTCCACCAGGGAGGGCCTGCGAAGACACTTGTTTTACATTGTCTTGGTGGCAGCCTCAGTGATGCAGCATTGAGTGAGATGCGAACCTCTTCCTGCCTAAATGCACCCAGCTGCAAGGTGGAGAAAGGAACAGTGCTTCTCAAAAATTAGTTTCACAGAATAAAATGAGTCCATAAATACCAAGTGTTCGGATTAGTACTGAGGCAGGCACATGGTGACTCAAAACAAACGGGGACCTCCCTGGTGGCGCAGCGGGTTAAAGCACTGCACTGAGAATCTAAAGCTGCTCCGGAGGAGACCACATGGCGAGGCAGACCTCTCCTGACCTGCCCGCTGCTCCCCTCAGCAGTGTACTTAGTCGATCTGCCTGTTCTGCTCCCCACTCTGCCTCTGGTGAAGCCTCTCACCGCCCCTGAGCCTCTGGCCTGTACCCCAGTTCTGTATGTACAAATAAATAAATCTAAAAACAAAACAAAACAAAACAAAAAAAAACAAACGCCAGCTTCTGCTGACTCTCTGTGACCTCTGACCCTAAGTAATGCCTAGCCTCCCACACTGTGTCTGATTCAACTATACACCCACCTCCATCCCCTAGCCCAGTCCCCAGCCCTTTGTTTTACAATCCATCAGGCAAAATAATGGAACAATAAAGTGTCGTGTAAAGAAGGTAAAAAAAAAAAAAAAACTAAGAGGAGAAGGGTGGAGAGCAAATTGGGGAGGGGTACAGTGGGCTAGGGTGGAGGACTATGGGTGCTTTGGTGGCGGATGTGGTGTGGTGACATACACTTGACAAGGTACGGTCCAGTCCCTCTCTGAGGGACAATACGCAGTGTTGTAAGCCAATGTTAGCTCAGTCAAAATAATTCCCTTCACCTCAGCTACCCCTCCTTAAGGTAATCAGTGTTCCCAGTCCAGCACCTACCCTTTCACTTCCTTCTCTATCTACAGTCACTCACTGGAGTGATAACTGTTGGTTAATATTCCATAATCTAGGTGTACAGTAAATTATTGCCCAATTTGAGGTCCTACCTAGGTTTGTTTTGCTTCCTCACTATGTATACGGTTCTCTCATGGGGTAGGACTCCTTTTATTTCTTGGCAAGGCTTTCAATTTACAAAGCAGTGAGTGAAGTATTCAAGAGGCGGACTTCTCAGTTTTCTACATTAGTTATGTCATGTTAAGGAATAGCCAGATAGTAACTGTACTACATTGTCAGTTTTGCAGAAAAGATAATTTGTTGCCCTCAAAAACTTCCAGCAGGGTCCCTCCCTGGTGGCGCAGCCAGTTGGAGTGCAGCTGTTTCAGTCCAAGTTCAATCCCCAGCCAGGGAGCTGACCCACATGGTGCAGCAGACCTCTCCTGTCTCACCCGTTGCTCCCCTCAGCAGTGTACTTCATCGATCTGCCTGTTTTTACTCCTTACTCTGTCTCTGGTGAATTCTCTTACCACCCCTGCACCTCTAGCCTGTGCCTCAGTTATGTATGGATAAATAAATAAGATCTTTAAAACAAACAAACAAAAAACCCCTCACACTTAAAAAACAAAACAAACAAACAAACAAAACCAACAAAACTTTCAACAAAGAAGTTGACCAAAATCTGTATTCTCCAAGACAATGTATATACAGCTGCCATAGCAAAATATAGGCAGTTTTAACAACAGAAATTAATTTTCTCATGGTTACAGAGGCTGGGTGTTTAAGATTAAGCTGCTAGTAGGTTTGACTTCTCCTGAGGACTTGATCCTTGCTGATGGCCACTTTTCTCCGTGTCCTCACCTGGCCTCGTCTCTGTGCACACACACTCTGTATCGCTCTCTCTTTTTATAATGACACCAGTCACGTCGGATTAGGGGCCCAGCCCATGTTTTCCATTTAACTTACTCATGTCTTTGAAGGTTCTCTCTCCAAAAGCAATCCCATGGAGTAGGGCCCACTCATGACCTCTTTATCCTTAAGTACCTGTTCAAGGCCCTTCTTCCAAATACATTCACATTCTGAGGTACTAAGGTCGGGACCTCGACATCTGAACTTTGGCTTAGAGACAGTCCAGTCGGAGACTAACAGAGCACTTTTGCTTGGAATATTTGGAACTAGATATTTTTCTTTTCTCTAAGGTGGCTGAGCTGCTCAGACATGTTTTCATGAGGGAAGGAAGATTTAGAGTTTAGGATGATGACAAGCAGGGCTGTGGGAAAGGAGTACATGAGAGAAATGTGGTGGGTGTACAATCAAGGCACTAGGCAGCTGTCAGGGGCACTGGGTGAGGGTTACTAACACCATTCCGGTGGATCCTATCAACACAAGGCTCCGTGAGAAAAGCAAGGAACAGAGGAGGCATTAAACTATCATCTTTTCTATAAATTAAAAGTATATTCCTGCTGTGTACATTATTCAGGAACATTTACCAAAAGCCAAACTACACATTCAACATATCACAGCAGTTACCTAGAATAGAAGAATAGGAATGGAAATTATTTTGACAGGAACACAAATCAATTAATCAGAGAGTGAAAATATCAGGCAGACCAATGGTGATAATATACCATCAACTCTGATGTGTATGAAGAATTGACCCTCCACAACCAAGGTCCAATGTGGAATAGTATAGAAGAAAATATGGATGAAATACTATATGACATACACCTCAGTAACATCTTTAAAGATATATCACCCAAAGCAAGGACAGTGAAAGAAAGAATAAACAGCTGGGACTACATCAAATTAAAGAACTTCTCTATAGCAAAAGAGATATTAAACAAACTAAGAGACACCCCACTGACTGGGAGAAAAATTTTGTATAAAATATTAGTGATAAAGGACTAATCACAGAGCTGATACAACTCAACAAAAATGAAGTGAACACCCCCATCAAAAAATGGACAGAAGAGCTAAAAAGACATTTCTCCAAAGAGGAAATGCAGACAGCCAACAGGCATATGTAAAAAAATCACTGGTAATCAGGGAAATGCAAATCAAAACCACAATGAGATACCATCTCACACCAGTGAGAATGGCACATATTTAAAAAAAACTAGCAACAATAAATGTTGGTAAGGATGTGAAGAAAAAGGAACTCTCCTGCTCTGCTGGTGGGAATGCAAACTAGTACAACCACTATGGAAAACTGTTTGGAGGTTCCTCAAGCTGGTAAAAACAGAGCTTCCGTATGACCCAGCAATCCCACTCCTAAGTATCTACCCAAAAGGACACAAAACATTAACTCAAAATGTTTATTGGTGCACCATTTACAATAGGGAATGTGTGGAATCAACCCAGATGCCCAAAAATAGGTGACTGGATCAAGAAGATGTGGTACACATACACTATGGAATATTACCCAGCAATCAAAAAAGATAAACTCATACCATTTGTGGCAACATGGATGGAACTGGGAAAGATCATGCTTAGTGAAATAAGCCAGAAAGAAAAAGAAAAATACCGGATGGTTTCATGGTTTCACTCATAGCAGGAGTATAGGGGATTGGGGGGGGGGGAACAACTGTAATAAAATTCAACAATTATTGTTTGTTGTTGAAAATCAACAAACAACTATAAACCAGAGGCATTCTTCTGGATTGGAAAGGGGAACAGGATCAAAACTGGGGCGGGAAGAGCACACGGGACTACAGTGATGGCACAGGGGTGAATTGGTGGTTGGAGTCCATGGGAATTACAACAGCGATGAAAAAATGTACAAAAT